TGTTTGGGCATCAGTGCAAAGCAAGGGTCTAGCTGCAGGTTTCCATTGCCCTGCTCTGGCAGATGACAAGGAGAAGCAGGGCTTGGGGACCACTATCCCAGCATCATTCTTCATTATGACCTGTCCTCACTCAGTTCTGGGCCCACTTTGGATTTGCAGCAGTTGTGTGCAAAGTGCATCATTGTCCACCTCTTCTACATCACCTTGTGCTGGGGACACCGAGGGGGAAACCCAGGGGAGGCACAGTGTGGCATTCCTGCCCATGGGTAGCAGTGTCCACGGATGACATTAATAGCAGCCCACATTAAACAAACCACAGGATGGAATTAATCACTTCTAAGAGGGTTTAATGGAAAGCACCAACTTGCTCCTGGCATTGCAAACCCTTTCCTAGCATGTGTGAATTATTTAATTAAGCCTGGAGAGGTTACAAGAGACCCCTCTTCCGCAGGAAAGGCAGGGTTGTGGTAGAGCAGGACACTGCTCTTGTAGGTATGCAATGATTGTAGGTGTGCAGTGATTAGGAAAAGGAAAACAAGACTGCAATTAGCACCTTGTGCCAGCAGGGCAGCTGGGAAGACATCTCTGGAAATGTAGTCTCTCTTTCCTGCTGTCCCCCCATGTATCTGTGCAGAAGGCACTGCCCATCACATGTCTGCTCCTTTACACATGTTGGGCTCAGTGAGCACCTGTGTGCTGCTTGCATCCTCATCTTCTGTGGGTACCAGCATTGAGTTTCCCCACAGATCTCTTTCCCTCACTGCTCAGGGCTGTGCCCACAGCCCCCAGGTAGCTCCAACCTTGGGTGTTAATGAGCATCACAGTCACTCCTGCAGGAAAAACTCAGTGCTGTAAGTGACAGACATTAGTTGTTACCTGGCTGTTAAGCCTTCATTAGGGTTGCTTAGAAACAATTTCAGCTTCTTCCCCATTGGGCTTTCTGGTAATTTTGGTCACCAATGAAACCATTTTTCAGGGAGAGGGAGAGGACACCTCGGGGACACACGGCTCTGTCCATGCTGTCCTGCCCTGGGGACTGAGTGTCCCACATGGCCTGGGCACCTGTGTGATTTTAACCTCTGTATTGGCTTATGGGATGAACATCTCACATATCCTGGGACCCCATTCGAGGGTTGCACAGTGCAGGCTGGGCAAGAAGCCTCCGAGTTAAGAAGGACTTTCTCTGCTGCTGGTTTAATGAGAGCTGCCAGTTACTGGATTTTCTTCCATTAAAGACACTTGGAACGACTCATGCCATGATGGGAACGTGGCCCCCTCACCTTGTGTGCAGCCCTGCTGGGAGCCAAATCCCCTTAGGATTCCCAGTGATGTGCTGTGCTACCTGTTGCAGGAGAAATGTCCAATCTGTGTGGTTTTGGGGGACAGTTTTGTGTGCATCCCTTCTTCCTTGAGGCTGAGTGAACTATTCAGGGTTCTCCTCCCAAAAATGGAGCTTTAATCCACACCAGCACATTGACGTTTCCAGTGCCTTGCGACTGAGGATAGTGTAGAATACATCTTGTAATCCTTTCCTTAATCTGTTTTTTCAGGAAGGTCAACTGGTGCTTTATCTAACACGTAGCAATTCTTATTACAGGCCTTACACCTAATTCAGCGGCTCATTTGATGCTGTCTTTAATGTGATGAAGTGCTCTGGAATCAAATAATTTTCTTGAGTCAGAAAAAAAAAAAAAAAAAAAAAAGAGCTCTCTACTGCTCCCCTTTTGTGCAGTCCATGTGGATTCCCAGAGGGTTTGCAATAAAACCACCCAGGAAGTTCCACATGGATGGAGGACAGAGGCCCTATAACCATCATGACCATGCATTTTCCCATGCCAAGAGCAGGCTGAGCAAAGCACCTTGAGCCTGCCATTGCCTCTGTGCCTTAACCTTGACTTGTTCTTTGATTTTTAGAAGAGACAACAACCGCTCTGACACCCTGGAAAGGTCAGTAACTATGAGCCTGCAATGCCAGCAGTCCCCCCGCTCCGTGTCCCCATGGGTCCCTCCAGCAATGTCCAGGGAGCAGCTCCCCTAAACCCCATTGCTCCAGCTCTTGCAGTGATAACTTTGGGGCTGCTCGTGGCTTCCCCATTGCTGCTTAACTGTAGCCACATAGCTGCATTTCTGTTTGGGTCTTTAACATGCCCACCTCCCACCTCTGCATGCCACGTCCCCACTGTCCCCTCCACTGCTCTCTTCCCCCTGTCTCCAGGATGCAGGCAGGGATGGCTTCGTGGTCCTGTTGCCCAATGGTGCTGCAGCCAGTCCTTCTTCCTCTAGGATGCTTTTAGTGTTGCTTTAGTGCCTTTTTTTTTTCCCTCGGGATGTGGTAGGGGTGCTCTTCCTTGCATTGCTGCTCTTACCGATCGATCGATCGCTTGCCCTGGGGACCACTGCCATCCTGATCTGGGGTTCTGCAGCCACGTGGCTCCATTCATAGTGCACTTAGTAGCTGGCATGGGGATGACCTCAAGATACTGGGAAGAGTTGGAGGCAGCACGGAGCTGCTTTTGCCTCCAGAGCTGCCCAGTGCCCAGCCTGTTAGTACCACCATGATTTGGGGCTTTGTGGTTACTGGTGTCTGTAGGGGTGCTAGAGTATGCTGCAAAAGGGAGACCAAATGGAGAGTGGTCCTCAGTGCCCTGAGTGAGGGGACATGTCTTGGGATTACAAAAGTGAGAACTGATCTGATCCTCCCACATGGTCCCACTTGGGCAGGACAGTTTGGGGTGTTTCTGCCAAAAAACACCAACTTGGGAGCCCTTCTGCATGGCATATTTTGAGATCCTCACCTGTCTGCCTAAACATGGGGGTCTCTGTTCCTTACAACCCACTTCATCCTTCCTGCAGAGAGACACAAGGTGGCTCTGGGGAGGCTGAGTGCCACCAGGAGCTGGGTGCAGTGCTGCACATGGAATCATTGAATGGTTTGGGTTGGAAGGGACCAACCTCCACCATGGGCTGGTTGCCTCCTACCAGCTCAGACTGCCCAGGGCCCCATCCATGGCCTTGGGCACCTCAAGACACGAGGCACCCACTGCTTCTCTAGGCATCCTCTGCCAGCACCTCATCATCCATCTCCTGGATGGTTTTTATAGAATCATAGAGTCATCATGGAGTCATAGAGTTATGGAATTACAGTGTTATATGATATCCCAGGTCGGAGGATTGAGTCCAATTCCTTAGTGGTACTTTTGGTGTTGCTGGGTGAAAGCTATTGCCTCCAAGTTCAAAGAACATTTGGAGGAGCTGGAGGAGGTTGCTTAGTGGTTTTGCATCCAAGATAGGTTGGAGATGGGAAATGGGAACCAGCACAGTACCGTGGTGGGGTTCATGTCCCAAACCCAAGGATGGGAATGGCTGCACCATGCAGCTCTCAGTGGTGACCCCCAGTGTTTGTAATAGCACCGGGGCCCAAAGCAGCGTTATTTTCTCCCCCCTCCATTCCCTACAGCTAACAATGCGGGTGTTTCTCCCCCCGCAGGCCCTGGTGCAGTGCACGATGGCAACAGCGGTGCGTGGCGGCGAGGCAGCTGTGCCTGGCTGCTGGCCCTGCCGCTCGCCCAGCTCGCCCGCCAGTTCTGAGCCCCGAGGCGGCCACGACCACCACAGCAGAAAGGAGAGGAAGAAGATGTATTCACTGTTTCTGAAAATAATCATAAGAATTGCGAGAGTTGTCCGGCCAGGCCTTCTGGGGGAGGGGGAGAGAGGAAAAACATGCAAAAAAAAAAAAAAATTAATAATAATAATAATTCAAAGGGAATTTGGAAAGGAGGGGAAAAAAAAAAAAAAAATTATCCAAGGCTTCCTGCTGAAGACGCAACGCGACTGAGTCTTTTTCTTTCCTCTGGTTATTTTTTTCGCCTGCCCCTTCTTCTGCCCCGTTTCGTCGTTCTCTGCTATGGGTCAGTGTGGGGATGGGACAGCCCTGGTCCCCTCACCATCCCCGCTCACCTGGAGCCCCTCCGTCCGTATGCGCAGGTTTTTTTCTTCGCCGAGATTTCCCCGTCTTCTCATGGACTGTGCCGCCATTTGTGTTCCGAAATATATATATATATATCCACATATACATATATATATATATGTATAGATATATAGATCTTCAACAGTTACACCACACCGCCACGAACGGAAAGGGAGGAAGGAGAGCAGTGCCGAGCCACGTTCATCGTACGCCATGCGGACATCGTGAATGATAAGGGTTAATTTTATTAATTATATTTTCTGATACGAGCCTAGAACTCTTAGTTCCTAAAAAACAAAGATGCAAAAAAAAAAAAAAAAAAAAAAAGAATCAAAACCAGGAACGAGAGAGCAAGCGGAGAGGAGAAGTGTGTTTCCAAGGAGGATGGTGCTGGCTTGTCCCTGGGCGAGGAGCAGGAGCCCCGTGCTGAGACCCCTCACCTGGCCAGGACCACGGCCATACAAACAGTTCCTCCACACATCAAGGCGAAGGGAGACGCCGAATCTTTTTATGGGATATATATATACAGTATATATAAATATACATATATATATATATATAATTTTTTTTTTTTTGGTTAGCGTTCTAGCCACAGTTCCCAGCAGGGTCCTTCCGCTGCCATTACTGCATGCTGTATATGGAGTTAGGTGTGTATTGGTCCTCCGTGAGATGAGGAGAGGTTCTCGCTCCGCACGTGCCCAGGTCCCATCACCTTTCTGCCCTCGGCTGTCTGGGGACAATGGGACACAGGTGCTGCATGGGGACTGGGGTCCCTCTCCGTCACCCTTTGCTGTGCAGCCCAGCCCCGGCTCTTGGTGGTGGAATAAAGCGAACCGAGGGATGGACGTAGATACAGATCTATATAGCTCAGTTTCATTTATATATATATATATGTATATGTGTGTGGGTGTGTGCGTGTGTGTGTGTGTGTATATATATATATATATATATATAAAAGAAGGCGAAGCAATCGGCACCCGCCGCTGAGCCACCGGCTGAAATTTGAGGGGGGGAGGGTGGGACACCTCAACGACTCGCTTTATTTTTCACTGGTGGGGGGTCTCTGCTGCAGTTTCTTTTCCTCCTTTGGTTTCCCTTCCTTCTCCGCGGCCGACAGCGAGGCGGGGGCACGGCGGGCGGGCGGCGAGGGGGCTCTCTCTGCCTCTATCCATTAAAACGATTGTTCCATGTGGCCGCTCCGTCTGCTTGTGGTGCTCATTGCCCCCGCCGCGGCCGCTGGGCACGGGGAGGGGTGCTGGGATGGAGGGAGGGAGGGAGCAGTGATCAGCTGCAGGAAAAGGATGGAGCAGCAGGAGGGTGTCAGCGCTGAGCCCAGATGCGATGCGACATAAGGTAAGGCTTCGGTGAGTACATGGAGGGCTTGGGTGAGCTGATTGGGTCCCCAGCGGTGTTGGAGGTGATGCGGTGCAGCCGTGAAGGTCACAAGTGAGTTTCTGGGTGTTGGTGAAACCTTGCTGTTGGTGAGCTGGTGTCGGTCTCTGTTGGTGTGTGGAGGGGTGTTGTTGATTTTCAGAAGAGTCTTTGGCACATCAAGTCTTCAGCTTTCACTGTAGCCACCGGCCTCTCAAGGCGTGTGGGCTCCACCTGGCACATTGTGTGTTGTGTGAGAATCAGAGCTGGTCTGTAACGATTGCAGGGCTTTTAATATTTTATTTTTTCCTCCTCTGAGTTTGTGCAGCCCAAGAAGTAGGCAGGGAGAAGGGAGAAAGAGAGAGCAGAGAGGATAGCGAGGTGTTGTGAAATGACGGCGCTGCATCTCCCGGCCCCGGGCAGCATGTGGGGACCTGAGGTTGGAGCATCCCTCGAGGACGGGGAGAAAAGGTAGGGAACAGAGACCCCCACCCCTGTGTGCACAGTGCCCAATGCACCTTTGGGCTGATTGTGGCCAGCGGCATTTGCAAAGTGTTCTGTTGTTCCCATCCTTCAGGGGACCCTGCCCTAAGCGAGGGTCTTTGTCCCTTGCTGTCACTGTGGGCACCAGTGCCCCATCACTGACAGTGCAGTGGGCGCAAGGCCCAGGGGAAAATCTCCAAAGGGACTTGCTGTGAGCCCCAGGGTTGCTTGTGTCTTCTCTCTCGGTGGCAAATACTGTTCCCCATGGGAACAGAAGGGCCCCTAGTACATGGGCTTTATCCCAAAGGATGGGCTGTTGGCAGGGGTTGCAAAGGCATCCCATTACCGTGCATTTCCCCACGGGCTCGTGGCATTTAATTGCTATTCCAGGGCAAGATGGCCAGTTGCATGCAGCTTTCTGCATCCTGGAATCAGAATGGCAGAGAAAAAGGGGATCAGTGCCAACCACAGTGCTAGAGCCACGGCGATGGCTTTGTAGGAACTGCTATGGCCACATTTGTTGTGCCACAGCCACAGATGTGTCTGTGCTTCTCCTGGGGGAGGAGATGGAGCAGAGCATGGCTGTTGGCTTTCAGGAAAAGAAAGTTGGCTGTGGCAAGGCAAGCCTGGCAGGTGAGGGAGGGACCCTGTCCACCTCCAAAGGATGGATCTGGATTAATGGGGCTCCTCCCTTTATTTTTGAAATTCTGAAATTTTCAGTGCTGTAGGTCAGAGGGCACACGGTGCCAGGGTTTGAGCATTGCAGAATAAGTTGGAGAGAGAGAGACAGATGCTTTTTTATGGGTGTGTTTCTGTATTTATTTAGATACATATTTATTTGTGTCTCTCAGTGAAAGTAGATGAATGTCATGGCCTGAAAGATGCCCTCGCTCCCTCTGGATGTAGTTGTGGTCCAGGTGGTAGTGATGCTTTCCTGTGTGTTGTGAAAGGAGCCCACTTGTGCTTGTTGTTCAGGACAGGGTTTATTGCTTGTGCCACAGGTTTCCCAGTGTGTTAGCTGTGATTCTTGCCTTGCAGGAAGTGATGATGCGGAGCACAAAGGGAAGCCCTCTGGTCTGGGGCCACAGCAAAGAGAAAGGAGTGTGTCAGGCTGTCTCTCACTGTCCCTCCATTGCTCTTCTTGGTTGTGACACAGCAAAACTGCACTCAGGAGAGGCCTAAAGTGTCCAAAAAAGGGAGGAGCAAGGGCTCGTTCCCTTCTGGATGGCTCTTCCTTCTTAACACTGCATCCCAATGACTGGTGCTTGTCGCCCTTTTACCAACCACACCAAGAAGTCCAAGAGTTTTGCATGGGGGATGGCTACAACCTGATTTGGTATTGCAGGTTGTACATGCAGCTGGTGTTTTTCCCTAAGAGGCATGTAAGAGGCTGCTAATAGAGCAACAGAGAGCAAGGGGACAGTGTCACCATTGTATCACCCATAGAGATGTGCACAGATGAGGGATGGCCCAGCTGGGTGATTTCCACCTCCATGGTCATGGTTGAGGTGAGCTGTTTGGAGTCTTGGTGGTGCCCTAGCCCCAATCCATTTGAATGTGCTGGAGCAGGTGTGGTCCTCCCATCCCAGACCCCTCTCCCAGTGTGTTGAGGGAAGCACTTACCTTTCTTTCCAAGGAGCACAGCCAAGGTGTCCCTGACAGAGCCATATGCTCAGGTGGTTGCAGGCTGTGGGAGGCTGTCACCGTGAGGAGCAGCTGGCTGCAAGGCTCAGCAATATGCTCTGAGGACACTGCTTTCCAGCTTCATGTCAGGAAAGGCAAAGGGAGGTGCAGAGCCAGCAATCAATCCCCTTATGGGTCAGGCGTTGCCCCAGACCATCTTGCTGCTCTTGTGCTCCCAGCAGCCTTCCTACCCTTTAACATAGAGCTCTGAGAGATCAGCTTTGGGGTTTCTGCTGGAAAACAGGGCCTCTCACTGAAGAGCATCCATCAGAGGGACGGAAAAACGGTCCCAAGAGGCACAGGTCCCTTCCCATAGTCTTCGTCTGTTGATGAAGACATACTGTCCTGTGTTTTGTGGAGTCACCTCTTGATAGGTGCAAAGCACTGTTAGCATTTCCTCTGTCGTGGCATTCCTTGCACAGAAATAGGTTTTTTGGAGCAAACGTTGTTAAGAGACGATGACACATGAGACGGCACAGCCAACAAAAAGAAGAATCCAGTGGTGCTTCTGCTGAAGGTAGGTGAGTGAACAGAGCAGAGCCGGTCGTTCCCCTGCAGGGCTCCTTAAATAGGTATGTGCTTGTCTGTGCTGCACGTCCCATCAGCAGAGGACAGACGTGGGGACAGGGATGAGGGAAGAGTCAAATAGCAGCGGGGCACAGAGCAAGGAGCCTGGTTGGGAACCAGACAAACCATGGGGCTGGAAGCAGTGCAAGGGCAACCAGGAGCTGAATGAAGCTACCATGGAACACGGTGCACGGGGGCCCCACGTGCTCCCCATGGCACGTGCGCTCCGTGAAGCAATGCCCCGAGGGTACAAAGTTCGTCAAACTTTATTGATACACTGCACAATCACAACCATCTCTTATTCTTGCCGAATTAGAAAAGGTTACAACTACAATGTAACATGCACAAATCTCAGGTAGTATAGCCACCCTTGGAATACAATGATCGACGGAAACTCGGAGACCGCGCGCCGGCAAGGCGAGCACGCGGGGAGCGGCGATGGCACGAGGCTCTGCCACCCACCCACACGGCAGTGCCGCGGCCTCGGACAGCCAACACGTTCCTCACAACTGCACGTTACATGGCACGAGAAAGTCGAACGCCGTCCCGACGGAGGAGGACAAGGAAGCCAGCCCAAACCGACCCGGGGAGAGAGAAGAATGGGGAGCGCGGGGCGGCCCCGAGGCTGTTGTGTGTGACCTCGGGGCATCTGGTAGTCGTCATGTCTTGTCTCTGCAATGCCACGGCCTTTGGCCTCGTTTCATGGGCTGGTTCAGTGTTTCTTCTGCAGGGAGAAATAGGGCACCGGAGTGGTGTGCCAAGCAAGGGCTGTATGCCAGCTGGGGGGCTTTGGATTGGGGCAGGGAGGTGGCACTGGGGTGACACTGCCAAGCGTCTCCCATGCCCCAGGAATGCATCTGAAAGCCCCAGAAGCAAAGATGAGCAAGGGGCCACCCGCTGACACCATCCTTTGCCAAGCGTGGTCGTGAGCATTGCAGGGCACTCAGCCCATCAGGATGTCCCACGCAGTTTTGGAGAGCTGGGAGATGGAGCTGCCAGGTAGGACTCAGGGGGGTTACGTCTATTTCCTTGCAGTTGATGCGTCACTGCGGTGGTGGGATCACATTCGCATGCTTCTGCCTTGCTTCTGGGTGGAGAGGGGCCGTTTGTTCTGTGGATCAACCAGTTGGGATGGGGGGGCTCAGAGCAAGAGCGTGGGGAAGGATGTGTGGGCCACCATGCCCCCCCACGATGGTGCCACTCGCCTCCACAGAGATGCACACAGATGGGATCAGGCTGCTGCTCATGACTCCTTCCTGGGATGCTGGTGGGAATGCAGGACCAGCTCACTGCTCACCGTGCCACATCCCTGCCCATCAGGTAAGCTGGTGTGCCTGGTCATTGCTGGAGTGGTGCCTTTGGGCTGTGTGGGTTTTGTCACTGTCAGTGTCCCATGTGTGGGGTCAGGAGCATCCCTGCAGATTTTGCAGCTGCTGCTTCTTTCGTGGCAGCATTGTACGTGTGCTTGTTTGTGCAATGCCCAGGAGGCCCAGAAGAGACAAGGGATGAGGACAGGGCAGTGGCACATTGCAGGGTCTGTGCCAGGGTTTTCTTTCTTTCCTGTAGGATGGAAAACAGGGCAGCAGCAGAGTTTGTATGGGGAAAGATACACAGCCTCAGCTCTCAAGTCATCTTGCTTTTGGAGGGAGAAAGAAGGGGGAAGGGCAGGGAGACATCAGTTCCCCAGGATAACAAGGTTATGGTAAAGGGGAGGGGACATCGTGTGCTTCCTTGGTGTGCTACCATCATGTTTTGTCCCCTTGTTGCTGGCACTTTGTCCAGTGCTGTGCGGGACTTCTCTGGAGCTGAATAGGAGGTTCTGTCCCTGAAGTACAAACCCAAAGCTTCCCATCCTTGCCCCAGGGCATAAGGAAGGATTGAGGTTACCCCCCATGCAAGGAGCATTGCAGCACTGTGGGCCGTGGGCTGAGAACCAACACAGCCCCATTGAGGTGGCCATTGCAGGGCAGCTAGAGGAAGCAAAGAGAAGGTTCTGACTGCACATGTTCTGGTGTCAGAGGAGCCTCTCAGCAAGCAGCAAGCTGGAGACACCAGGGCATCCTTGTCCTTGTTGTGTAGGTGTAGTAAATTGACGGCCATTATTTTTCCAGTGGAGCCTGAGCTTCTCCAAATGGTCAAACACCACTGCTGGGACAGGCAGAGGTATTTGCCTGGACAGTGTAGAAAGAGCCCTTGGGAGACCTGAAGCACCCATAAGATGGAACTCTGTGGTCCCACCCCTCCTGGCACACAGGGGTGGCAGCAGGCATGTTGGAGCTGCAGCTGGGGCTCTGTTTGCTGCCTGGTGCTTGTCTGTGTTGGTTAGTGCCTCCTCCCAGTGCCAGTGCTGCAGTGCTTTCGCTGTCAGATTGAGCAAGGAGCTGGAAATTCAGTGAGCATCTCAAGTGCTTCCTCTGGGCAGGGACGCATCCTTGGGCACAGGGCAGAGGGGCTGCAGTGCAGAAGGGAAGCAGCGGGGGATGGAGAAGCGAGGAGATGGTCTGGGAGGAGCTTTGGTGGTGAGAGATCACATTCAGGACTGAGACGGTGCAAGGCAGACGCAGGGCTTCAACTTCAGGGTCTGTTTGGGCATAGGTGTCTCAATGTGACGACGAGATGGACGTCCCCAGCGACTGCTCCGGGTGGCCCCCACCCACCACACCCGTGTCCAACACGGTGTCACCAAGACGCCTGCCAGGTGTCAGCGGGGAGCCCCATCCACGCTGGACCCCATCCGTGGGGCACATCGCCCGCAGCCGGCTCGATGCAAGGAGGGACAAGGCGGCAGACAAGGCTCGGTGCAGCATTGCCCTTCGATGGGCAGGCGACGGTGGCGGGTGACAGTCTGGTGGCACGTGGTGGGGTCTGTACAGCGTAACTGGCGACGAGAATGATCCCGGCAGGTGGGAGACGTGGCCGTCCTCGGCCCTTTGGCGCCGCTCCCCGTCCTCCGGCGTTGTGCCCGTCTGACGGAGAGGAGTCCCCGGGCGGCCGTCCCGGGACCCTCCACTCCCTTATCAAAAGTCGAGGAGGAGGCGAGCGAGGAGGGTGGCCCAGAGGCAGAGGCCAGCGGCCGCCCGGGAGGCTGCGTTGCCACTGTCGTGCACCGCTCCGGGCCCTGCACCAGGGGGAGAAGAGGGAGAAGAGGGACAGCATTAAAGTCAGTGATGAGTGGATGAGGTCACGTTGTCATGCAAACAGAAGCCTTCTCCCTGTTGTCCCTTTGTATTCCCCTCTCCCCCCTTGGCGGGTTGGCAGCAGTGAGTCAAGTTCCCAGTTTGGGGATGCTGGTGACATTTGGGGCACCTACCGTACAGGATGATGCTGGCATTGGTGTTGCCCAACTTGTTTGTGGCCACACACGTGTAGTTGCCATAGTCCTTCTCCGAGACATTGAAGAAGGTCAGCGTCGAGAGGCGGCCCTTGCTCTCGATCCGCACGCCCTCCAGCCCGTTTGCTAACCTGCACAAGGGGTTGTAGATGATGCTGCTCAAAGCCTTACATGGGTTAAGAATATAACACAGCCCCAGGCACCCCTTCCCTTCCCCCCACAGCCTTATGAGGTCCACCCTTCACCCCACTGTGCCACCCAGCAGCACCTCACTCCATCTCCAGTCCCATCTCCCTCCGTGGGTTGTCCCTGGGATACCCACACTATCATGGAGAGAAAGACCTTAAAATCCCCGTGAGGTCTTGGATCCTCCATAGCAGGAAGAACCTGGCCTCCCTTCCAAGCTGATCCCTTGGCTGCTTCCATCCCACCCTGCATCCTCCATGCACCCGCACCTGGTGTCCTCCTTGAACCACTGAAACTCTGCCACGGGGACAGCCGAGGCCTCGCACTGCAGGATGCCCTTCTGGCCCACTGAGGCGCCTGTGTTCTTGGCATTGGAGATGTACGGCGGGTCTGTGGGGATGCCATGCCATGTCATGTCCCTAGGATGGACCACGTGCCTGTCCCACCACCACATCCCCGCCAGGGATCCCATTCCATGCACTTACAGTTGACAGTGACTTTGACTTTCCGGACATCTGGGACGGCCACATCATTGACAGCACTGCACTCGTACTCGCCCGACTGCTCCCGTGTGATGCCTGTGATCTCCAGGTACTCATCCTCGCTCACGAAGCCTTGCCCTGTGATAAAATGGGGCACCATCACCAACAGCTCCAGCAGCCTCCAAACCAACCTACGCATAAATCCCCCCACACCCCTGCCATCCTCCATCCCTTTGCCAAGCTGGCATCTCCTGCACCTGGCACTCAGCACAGGCAGGTCCCCAAGCCTTCTCTCACCTTTCCCAGAGAGATGCCGCCATGTGACAGTGGGCTCCGGCCTCCCAAAGGCCAAGCACATGAGGGTCACACTGCTGCCTTCATTCACGGTGATGTCTGATGAGATGTTGACAATCTGAGGGGGGACTGCAGGACACAACAACATAGGGACCGTCAGCACACAGGCTCATGGGGACCTACCAACATTCCCAGCCCTCTCCCCACCATCAGCCCTGCTCTGACATCACTTAGACCTGCACAAAACATGGCCCCATTGACCACGTGGCAACCTAGAAAACCTGGACCAACCCCTACAACCTTCCAGAACAGAAGTTGCTCTTGGCAACCCCCATACGGGCTCCTCAAGACACTGGAGTCTGCCATACTTCCCCTCCAGCCACCAACCAGCACCTGGAAAATGCCACCTGGAACTGGCGTGGAAGGGTCTGCACGCCCCAAAACACCCACCCTGCCGCTTCGGGCAACCCATGATAACCAACTCATTATGACTGCCAACAGCTCTCATATCTTAGCATTTTTATTAAAGCTTTCTAAATTACTGATTGTCTGCTCCATTCAGTGCCGGCCATTGTGATTTATATTAGTCTATCCCCTGATACTCCATCTAATAAATAACTTGGCAATCTCCAAGCCCATAAATCCCCATCCCAGCAAAAAGCAATTAAAGCCCGTTCGCTGACGCCATTCACCGGTGCTCCAGGCCTTGGGGCTGGTGAATGCTACTCCCTAGGAGCTGATCCAACAATGCAAAGGGGCTCTCCCTCAACCAAATCCCAGGCTGGCTATGCCATGCTCAATGCCCGTGAGCCCTCCGTGGCCATAGCAGATGTGAGACCTCAGCCCCACAGTGCCCAGCAATGGGCACGAGTGCAAATGTATCTTGGTAGATCCCTCTACTCCATCCTCCCTATCGTGTTCCGGATAGAAAATAAAGATCAAGAATCAAAGAACCATAGAATTGTTCAGGTTGGAAAAGACCTTCCAGATCATCAAGTCTAATCTCAGCCTAACCATGCTACCTAAAGGATGGGGCACTCCAGGGGAGGGGTAGTTGAGAGGGGCACAGAGACTTTGGCAGTCTCTACTGGGGAATTCTGCCTAAGCTGTGAGCGCCAAGAAGCCTCCAAAAAGCACACATAAACCCATCCAGCCAAGTGATGCTCTCAGGCAGATTTCACTCTCCATAGGGACAATGGCAGTGCCAGTCCCACGTCACCAACAACGTCACGAGACACAGCCCCTCTACATAAGGCATCAACTGCATTTGGAGCTCTTCACCCTTCCACCATCCACCAGCAACACCGCCTGGTCCAGTCCTGCTGATGCTCAGCTACTGGCAGTTCCCATGCCTTGGCAGGGGTTAAAATTCAGCCTGAGAGCACTTTTTGCTCCTGGGGGGGGCTCACAAAGGCTGGGTTTCCCCATGCATGCACTTGCAGCTCGCTCCCCAGCACAGCCCGATGGCGAGGGCGCTGCCGAGCCTCCGCCGCCTGATGGGCCCTGCGAGGCTGTAAATTTCCCAGCAACTTGACACTTTAATATAGAAGTACAGTCTGTTATAGCAGAGGGAGATTGTCTGAGTCCTTCAGGGGAGACTGGCAATCCAAAAATGAAAAGTGTGCGGCAGCAACCGGTGAAAAATGTAGTTAGTGCTGGGAGTGCGGGCGGCACGCTGCCATGGTTTGTCCCCAGCTGCTGCTCTGAGCAGCCCTGTGTGCTCGGAGCTCCTCTCGCTCCTTGCAGCACCCAGGGACAACGTTCTTTGTAAAACTGCTTGCACGACACGGGAACTGCAGAGCAACCAGGGCATGGAGCAGAGCTGCGCTGTGCCATTCGTCTCTGTGTGCACACAGTCTTATGTTTATGCATCACAATGTTGTCCCAACTCATCCACGCACACTGTAAGGCAGACTACAGACAGACACCCAGACTACGTGGGGCCGGGAAGTGTGACCGCATGGCCCCTTGCAGCATGCTGATCCCATGGGATGCACAGGGCTGGGTGTCCCTGAGAGCACGGGGACATCGCCGGCATCGATACCCAACCGCGACGGCAATCGTTGCCTATGAGGTTACATGGACTGGCAGGAGGACATCCAAGGGACCTGATTGCATTTCTATAGATCCCACCAGCTGCTGGCTGCAGCCTCAAGGGCAGGCTGCCATTGCCTTTGCTTTTAGCCACAAGAAGGGCGGGAGGGAGCTGGGACACGGCAGTCAGCAAACAGGACCTAAGAACAGGGTAACAGGGAGCAAACACGACAGTGGTCTAACAGTGACCTGCAGGGCCATTCCATCATTATGTGCATGATGCAGGTGAGGCCACAGCACAACCACACAGCATGAGATCACCACAGAGGCAAAAAGCTCTCCTATCTTCCCAGCATCCACGCAGATCAGTGGGACTAAACAGCACTGCTGTGGGTACTATCATTGCTATTCATTTACCTGCTGACAGCAAGCTATTTTTTGTCTATCTTTGATTTTTTGCAATAGCCACTGAGGGCCTTCTCCTTGTCCTACATCCCGTATGCAGCTAATATCCAGCTTTATGACACTCCTGTCACTAAATATAGAACATAATAAACGATCCCAGGGCAAACCTGTTAGCAGTAAGAGAAGCAAAACCGGGGCTGGCATTCAGGCAGGGACATGGAGTGCCATCTCCTGACACACGTAGTGCACTTCACTGCATCTCACCTTGCCTTGCCTCGTTAGCCCAAACATACCTCACAACACACCAACAGTAAGATACTCAAGGGAAAAGGGGTGAGATCATAGAATGGAAAAGACCATTAAGATCATCAAGTCAACCCATCACCACCATGCCCACTAAACCAGCTCCCTTAATCCTTTGAGAGGCACAGGTGCTGCCCAAAACCGGGGCATAGATGCTGCCCAAAATACACTGCCCACTAGCTGCCATTGGCACAAGACACAGCTTCCCAGAGAGGGCCACCAAAATACAGTCCTGGCTCCAACCACACCAAGGTCACAGCAATGTGGATGATGCCAGCACATGGCGTGCTCGTGTGACAGTGCGAGCCTTGGGAGCTACAGAGGTAAAGCAAACCAGCATCACAGGAACTCTATCCCCCTATTAATAGTCTTGTTTTCTGTTTAAAAGACCACTACTAAGAGCACATTGGATGTGCAGCAAATCCCGTGGTCTCGCCAGAGCAGTGCGTGGCCCGCGGAGGATTGCCTCCATCCCGTGTAATATTAATCAGGGGGAAGTTAATGCATAACGTTCGCCAGGCCAAAAAAATACATTTGGGCTGTAATTTCTTGTTTGTTCGGAAAGCGGGCGAGAGAAATTGAATGTGAAAGTGATGCCACTAAATTCAATAACAATAAGCCCATGATTTATCTCCTTCCTTTACCGCTCAAGACCCGCACTGCCCGACGCACCGATTAATGTTTTACATTGGGTACAGGAGACGGCCGCACAGCGGTTCCTGCTGATGCCCTTGGGGGCTGTAAAACCCTGAGCCTCCCCTCACCCCCAAACCCTGCCAAACCCCAAGGCTGCCCCGATCCTCTGGGCCCAGCTTTGCTCCTGCCCGGCAGCAAACTCCTTGCAAAATGGCTGGAGATGCTGCAAGGCACCCAGCTATGACGGGGGGTGGCTGTTGCAAGGGGCATGGCCTTCCCCTGCTAATCAGTGCAGTGAGAGGCGGCTCTTCGGTAATTACTGCCTGCTTATTGACTCAAAGCGACACAGAAGCATGCAAACAGACAGGAGCTGGCTTGGCTTTTGGCCACTCTGGATCCCATATCCCCACCAGCAAGACTTGCTGCCCCAAGCTGACTATTTTTAGCTGTGAGATCATTAATGCTGCACGCACAGAGCTGGGAGGCTGAGCCACTGATGTCCCTCCGGATCATTAGCTCCTAAACCATTCAAAGAGACCCCTTCTTATATCTGGGATAAGATGGGTGCCTATGGGCTCTGCACACCGCTGGGCATCCATGAGTGCCCTGCCCTATTTGCTGGCTCAGCGTGGGGTCACTTGGGTATGCTTGGTGGCTTTTCTGCCCCAAAGCAGAACTCCATGAGGTGAGCTGAGCTGTTTTACCCGTGTGAAGTGGCACAGGACACCGCTGCTCACTTTGGGCATCCCTCCTTCTGCTGGATTTTCTCCAGAGTGCCTTTTGGCTCCTGCTGCTGCCACCCTGGGCACAGACAGGCCTTTAGGGCAGCACCTTTCAACATAACCCAGATGCAAAAAAACTCCATCCGGGTGTCCAACACCTGTTTGGATCTTCACATTTCAGGCCCCCTCTCACACACAGCTCGGGACAGGGATGGTGTCTGCCTACAGCTGGCAACAGTGGTGCAACATGCAGTGATGCCAGATGTGGGCATCCTTGAATACCACGCACAAACTGCACGTGCTTCCTGAGATCCCCATGTGCTGCCCTGGTGACAAAAGCACCTCCTGCTCCCTCCCAGCCCCTCCTTTTCCTCTTTCCAGGGACAGATCTGGCAGGAGAGCTGCCGCCCTCTTTCATTAAATGTTAATGCTTTTATTTATTCGCCAGTATTTATGGACCTCTCATCTCTTCCCATTGCTATTCACATATCTCCCTCTCGTTACTGCCAGACGAGGATGGACAGTTGATTTGAAGCATCAGGATGCACACCTGGATGGCTTCCCAGACATCCTGCAGGGACAGAGTCCTTCTGGGACAGCCCATCCAGCACACAGGGATGCAGACCCAACCATGCAGCCCACCCAGGGCTGCCCACCAACAGGGACCCCACATACATGCACTCAATGTCCTGCCTTGTTCCCTGGGAAGGGGCACATTAAGGCTTTAACCAAAGTGCTGCTTGTTGACAGCCAGGATTACCACCTCTCATCAGCCCCATTTTGATGAACCACGATGCTCATCGGCATTGATTTTATCAACACTAAATTAAGCACATCTGACAGCTACGGGTTGGGCACCAGGATGGTTTTTGTCAAATCTCTCAGCCCAGAGAGCAGCACATCATCCTGTCACCTTGCACATCCTAAAAACGCTCTATTTGGGGGGACATTTTCCCTTTCCCTTCTCCTACCCATTAATGCTGCCCTTCCAGTGCTTTCCCCAGTAAAGCACACCTCACAAGGTGCAGG